GTGGAACCCTGTCCAAATTCACAGTCAAACACTAGGAGCTTTACCTACATCCTCACAAGTCTTATTAACCCATGGGAAGTGGAGCTGGCTTCTGCTCACCCACATGCCCCTGGAAGAAAATTTTCCTGGCCTGACCTGGCTTAGGATTACTATCCAGGAATATTCTGTCTGCCCCAGCAGGCCATAAGTGTGATACCGCTAGCTGCAGAGGACTGTCTCCTACTTGGGACTTTCAGGGCAGAGATGAGGAAACTGAGGCTCACATAGACTAATCAACTCAACCAAGTTTCTCCAGCTAGAAAGTGGTTGGGTTAGAAACTATGTGGAGGTTTTTCTGCTATAGCTACTACACTGGGCCTTTCCCAGGGGCATTGCACCATACGATGCGGTTCATGTCAAGGCACTCTTGTAAGTGACTTCACTTCTATGAGCTCTAGTCTCCTCATCTGTAAAAGAAGCATGTAACCTATATCATATGGCCTATTTTACTAGGTCATTGTAAGAATTCAATTTGACAGTTCAGTACATGGAAGCTTCCTGTAGTTTCTGGCAAATAGCCTGCATTTTCTAAGTATTGGTTGTCATTGTCATCATCATCATTTGTGACCTACTGTGTCTTCCAACCATGTCACATCTGTATTCTTTTACAATGATGGGCACCTTTGTGGGTCATCTTTTTGTTTTCAGGTTGGCAGACTGGGTCACAGGTCTGTATTCATAACTCTCATCTGTACCACATTATGATCATACAAGTTTTCCTCTTAAAAAGTGATCATATGAGGGTAGGGGTCTGCTTCTGAGAGGGCATGGCCAGCTCCTAGGGCTTTGACTTCTTTTCTCTGGAGACCTTGAACCTTGACCTTCTGTTTTAGCTGTGATTCTCTCTAGTAGGTTCCCAGAGGCAACCAGTCTCCCAGTCTCTAGTAGGTTCCCAGAGGCAACCAGTCTCTCATTTTACCATTAATGAAATAAGATTATGGGCACTTTGGTGTTAAACAAAGTTAATGCAATAGCTTTTGGGTTGGGGGCATGAGGGAAGGGTTGGGTGGGAGGGTGTAACTGTGGTTACCCTTGGGGAGTTACAGAGTTCCAGTAAGCATTCCAGGCATCCAGGCAGATGAGCAGGCGGTGAGATGTCCACTGTTGCAGAGATCTTACTTGGTTGGTTATTTGTCCCTGCTTTCTTTTCTCTGTGAGAACAGCTTTGCTGAGAATCTATCTCCCCAATTAGTCCTTTGAGGAGAGGAACCTGGTTTTGAATTTCTTTGTAGCCCCCTTCTGGCCTTGGGCATTGATTGAAATTGATCCAGACCTTAAG